TGGGCCTTTACTCCTGAAGATTGGACCAGTGGCCTCCGACTGTCTCCTTACCCATTCTACTTTTAGAGTAGATCAGCTTATCCCTCACCACCCAGACTCCGGGAGGAGACAGTCGGATTGTTTGTGGAGAGGAATGTGATTCGGTAGCTACATCAGCTGGCTCCTAAATGGGAATACAATGGCCACAAATCAGGACTGTTTGGCCCAATGGTGTGGACAGAGGTAGGGGCCACTCTGATAAGAATGCAGGAGCGTGGCTGCTGTGTGTGGAAGAACCAGAAAGCCCTGCTCTCGGGCTTGGCATGCTGCCTCTGATCTCCGTTGCCTGGATTCACTCCCCACATAGCTTAAGAAGATGACAGCGTACTTCATACACAGGGATTTTTATGTTATATTAACGGAGCTGCTCTCTTGGTTTAGAACATACCTTGCTAAACAAAATTTTGAAACGTAGCATCAAATGTTATAATCCATGTTTAAGAAAAAGCTGGTCTCCTGGCATCCCCAGGGTCTGTCCGTTTGTCCCCACTTTTGTAATGGATGTGTTTCCAGTAGACCAGGGCATGGAGACACATTCCTATAGGAGCACACGCTGGGGGAGAGCTGAGAGGTGGTGCAGACTGTGTACACTGCGCATCTCTGTTAGTACATTTTTCTATTTTTGTGCCGAAAAGAAGAATAAAATCCATAATCTCAGACTCAGGAAGGGTTTTCAAGAATCCAAACCTCAGGCTGACCGGATGCGTCACACCACTCACGTGGTTGTGAACACGCGTCTTTGTTGAACTTTTCATCCAGGGGTCCAGATGGACATGTATGTGGATGTCCAGATCATTTCCATTAATGCTGCTCTGGAGGGTGAGCTCGAGAGGTTATGCAAACCTACATGGGCCACAGAAGAGACTCTTCTTGGGCAGGCTACTTTGTGAAAGAAATACTAGAGCATAGAATTTGCTTTGTTTTTTTTTTTTTTTTTCCTTGCCAAAGGAAGTGAAAGCAAATAAATTTTACGCAAGTTGCATGTGTCTTACAAAGATCTCCGGAAAGGCTAGTTATAATTGTTATTTTGCCACGTAGGCTGAGGAAAGCCCTATTAAGAATAAGTGTAGCTTGCCACTCTTTGGAAAGCAAGGCTTTTGTGTGGGTGTGAGTGTGCGTGGATGCGTGTGTGTGCACATACTCCTTGATGCATCTTTCTGAGCTGGGTGCAGACAATAGCTTTGGACCCAGTGGCTGTTGGATGTGTAAAATCATGATGCTGCCTGCTCTGTGAGCCCTCATTGCCCGAGCAGGGGTGTTGTGTTGCTTATTACCTAAACCAATTTCCAAAATGGGTAATTGTGTTCTGACTCATACAATTCCCCTGCATTTCCTGACTGCTTCAAGTGACTTACAGCTTCCTGTTCTCCTCTAATGGATATGTAATGAAGTGATATATTTCAAAGTCACGGCTGTGTTTCAGGCTAGAGTGGACTCCTCTTTAATAATGTCTCTTCAGAGGGTGGCATAAAGCTTGGTACACGTGTGTCCTATTTCTACACTGAAAGAAACCATGGTAAAAAGAGAGGTCTTCAAGTGGGAGATGATTCTGAGGGGTTGAATATCATCTTAGCTGGACACTTTCAGAAGTAATCATGAGTCTTTCAGATGCTGTAGGAGCCCAGGCTTTAAGGACAAGTTGCTGCGTTCACATATTGATTTTACTACTTTTTAGTCATGAGCCGATTGCATAACTTTAACCTTCTTGTATCTCAGTTTCCCTACCTGAAAAGTCCTGGAAATACTAACACCTATCCTTGGGAGTTTTGTAAAGATCACATGAGAGATTCTGTATGAAAATACTAAGCATGTGTGTGGCAGATGGTGGGGGAAGATAGACACTTGCTCTTAGTAGGATTATTTTCTTCATTGATGTAATCTGCCAAGAAGCAATTGCCAGGTGATTCAAGTCTAGCAGGGCAATGGAGGAATAAATAGATGAATTACAGCAATAGATACTAAAGTCAAGCTTCATGCATCATGCACAGAATCATGGAGAAGCACGTGGTTAATTCACACTGAGGTCAGGGCACATTTTCCAGGAGAAGTAGGCACAAAGGAAAAGTGAAATTTTCCTGAAGGAAATATGGAACAGAGAGGCATTCACCCTGCAGAGGCACCGTACAGTGTATCTGTGGGTGAGACTGGTCTTTGATTCATGAAGTTCATGTTTATTTAGTGAGTTCCCCCTTACGAGACAGGCTTTGCCGTTAGACTCAGGCAATGCAACAATGAGCAAAAGGAAAAAATCCTGCTCCATGGAACTTTCATTCAAGGCAAGAACACTAAACTAATAACTTTTGTACCATGAGAGGGTCATGAGGGAGAAGCACTGGATGTCACTGAGTGGTATCACTTTTAGACTGATTAGATCTTGGGGTGGAATTTCCAGCAGGGCCTCTGTGGGTAGCTGAGATTTAAGCTAAGACCTGCAGGGCAAGTGGGAATGAAAGTGGGAGAGACCAAGGGAAGCTCCGTGCTCAGGAGTCATGGGCCTTCTGGGAACCAAATAAGCTCCTCAGCTTGTGTGGGGCATAGGAAGCCCAGGGAAGGTAGCAGAGAGTCAAGTGTGCGCTGTGACAGGAAGCAGGGAGACCACAGGGTCATACTGGACGTGTGAACCGAAGGATTGGGGCCTATGCCCCAAGTACAATGGGAAGTCTCTGTAATTTTATTTCATGAGTAGAAAAGGCAGAATCAGGCTTATGTTTTTTAAAAACCATCTACTGTTTGCACAATGAATTATGGTTAAAAATGGAAGCAGAGAGAGCAGTAAATGGTTGTGAGATGACAGTGGATTGTTTTGGGGGTGGTGGTGGCCCAGAAATAAACCAGATTCATGGCCACATCTGACAAGGGCTGAGGGACCTGATGTGGGGAGCTTCTGAGGACCACTCTGCGCTATTTTGTGCTAAACATTTGAATTTATACTACAAAGAGGGCCAGTGGAGGTGGAAGCAGGGAAATGAAATAACCCGATTAGCGTGTGCACAGAGGATATTTATGTCTGTTCCCACCTCCTCCTTGAGCCCCGCAGTTATTGGATTTGGAGTAACAGCTGGGAGAAGGGCCCAGTATCACCGCCGGCCAAGATTGATGGGAGGCACATTCTTTTGTACAGCAGCACAAAAGAGATATATTAAGGGGAGGTTAAACTTGTCAGTGTGAAAGGCTTATTTATCTTGTAAATTCTCACCCAGAAGCCACTGACGTCTTCTTTCTGGCAAGACCCAAATATACCGCTGTTCCTGAGCAGTGTCAGGTGCCCCACAGCCCCATCCTTTGCTTCTCATTGGGTGAGGGGAGGGGTTTAAAAGTGCTAGGAGGACTGTGGCCTTGTGGGAGAAGGAACAACAGGAGAACATCCAATGGAGGGGGTTCCTACTGGTAGGAGCAGGGCAGTGTTTTCAGACTGTAAAAGCAGAGGGCTCATGACCCCTGAATAGTGAAGAGTAGGTTGGAGGCCAAGTGCATGAACCATTGAGCAGATAGGAGTAAGCCTCAGAGAGGTGAAACTATTTGGGAAACTAAATGTGTTAAGACTTCATGATGGACTGCAAGATTTGACCCCACGCTGGTGTTCATTTCTGAGACTCCCTACACTCTACCCATGACTGACAAAAAGGAACAATTCAGTGACACACTGGGGGCCCCACCCTCTTCAGTGGGGATGCTCAGAATGGGTGAAGTATTTGGAGGCTGTTGTAGTTGACTGAGGAAGCTCATAGTGATGCAGATAGTCTTTAGAACTACCAAAAAGATGGTCTTTTAGACAGCTAGATACTATTAGCAAAACTAAAACAAATTTTCTACCTTTGTGAAGTTTCAAACCTACCCACATTTACTATCCTTAGGAAAATTTAATATGAAAAGATCGTGTATAAGCCTTACTGTGTATTAGGGACAAATCTGATTCCCTTAAACAACTCTTAGCTTTTAAGCCCATGGAAAGTGTTCTGTGATGTAGTGACGGTCCATATGCTGCATGTGGCTGTGTAGGACCATCTGGGCGACTCTCCTTGAAAGAGGAGCAGTCATCTCCATTTTAGCCATGCCTCCTCCGACTCCCATGTACTGATATGTACACAGCGGGCTAGGATTTTTTCCTTTTCCACTCACTTTGCTTTGAGCAATGCAGATCAGTCCAGCCAAGGTGTTGATGTGTAGTCGTCTAAGCAAAGACCACAGGGCAGTGTTGCATCACCCAGTAGCTCCCCAGTAAACGCGTGTGAGCCATGTGGGATGGAGAGCCACCCTCCAAGATGTAGGCTGGGACTGAGCCTTGAGGTAAGAGGCAATGACTTCCTAGGGCATAAAGATTACACATCAGAGCTGAAACACTGACCCCAAAATATTAGATAATACCTTGAATTGTGTTACACAGATTACTCTTTCAGCATATCCTTCTTTCTTGCATACTGCAATGGTGATTTCAGGCCACTTACCCAGCCCAACTCACAGTTCATGGCCCTTACAGATTTCCCACCATTCTCAGTCACTCATCCCTGAGCCACTCCCCTTTTCATGAATTAGTAAAACCAAGGTTTGGCTCTAGGTTGAGGCCTTCGTTCCGGATGGCCACCGATCTAGTGGGAGTTAGGATCCTTTGGGGCCCCACAACTACAACTATGCGTTACTTTGTTTATTCTCACCATGGGTTTCACTGGATGGTAGGTTGGAATTAATTAATAGGAATTCCAACAACTTTTCTATGGGATTACAAATGTAAGCTTTCTGGGCTGGGGAGATGGCTCAGGGGAATAAGCGCTTCCCTGGCAAGTGCAAGGGCCTGAGTTCAGTCCCAGGTTCCGCAAAACAAAACAAAACAAACAAAAGAAATATAAACTTTCTGCACCACAACAAGGTCCAGGAAAGGCTTTCTTTGTTGGGCCTCGCCTCTGGTGCTACAGATTAGAAATACATAGGATATGTGACCAAACTTCCACTTATTCCTTTTTCAGGTTACAGAACTCAACAATGTGAAGAGTGTAGCTCGACTTCCAAAAAGCACCAAGAAACACGCCATAGGGATTTATTTCAGCGATGATACCTCCAAGACCTTTGCTTGCGAATCAGGTTTGCCTTGAGGCAGCGGGAGGCTTTGTAGCTTTTGGGCAGGGGCTGAGCATACTGGTTAAACTCTTGGCTGTTTCTACAGATCTTGAGGCAGATGAGTGGTGTAAAGTCCTCCAGATGGAGTGTGTGGGAACACGGATCAATGACATCAGCCTCGGAGAGCCTGACTTACTGGCTACTGGGGTTGAGAGAGAGCAGAGTGGTAAGTACAAGACATCCTCAGCTTTCTTTTCTATGCAGTCTTGCCCAATATGATAAAACATAAGCCATCTTTGTTATGCAAAGTACTCAATTAGAAAAATGCATAAAGAAAAGCAAAAATCACTTTTCACCCACTACACAAATGCTGCAAGCGTTGCAATGCATTTTTTATGGTACCTTTTTCAGTTGGTATTGTCCAAGTGTCTATGTTAATAACACCAGTTAGAAATTTTGAAGAATCTACAGTTTGCCAGGTTAGCAAAAGATGCTCTACCAGTAGTAGATTATTACAGCCGCATGGCGTAGATATTACTGCTTCTCTGATTCTGTAGATGAGGAAACTAAAGTTTCAGTACACCAAGCATCTTGCTCCAGCACTAGTTGCTACTTAGTGTTTGATTCCAGACAGTACTTTTGGGCCCGCATTTACAACATACAGATTTTAAATTATAATGGCTTTTTGTCTTGCCATTTCACTTAAAATGTTATTGAAAGCTTTCCAATGCTTTTAATAGAATTTCAAATTCATGAATATTTCATCAAGCTTAATCCCTCCTAAAGATCTGTGATTTTTTTTAAAAAGACTGAAATACTTGAGCCAGCTCGAGTTTAACATGCAATCTAGGAATGCATCATCTTAAGTAATAACAACCAAAATATTCAAGAGCATTTTAGCAAAAATCAATATTGATTTACAGCCTGAGCCTGGAATCATTCTTCATCTTCAAATAGCTGAATCTGGCGGTAGGTTCCCAAGGTTCTGTGTTAGTGACTGACTTGATCGGTGAGGATTTAGGGGATGGAAGGGGCACTGGGTCGCCTGGATTGATGACGAACACGGCAGGTGTGGAATTGTGCTGACCCTGTCTGCAGGCTTGTGCTCCATTTATTAGTGAGAAATGGTCTCCTTCCTTATTGGAACTGTGTCTTCATGACACATTTATAGTCTGTGACTGTACGGAGAGCACAGTGTGTACCATAATCCATCTCCACTGAAGTGTTATTGACCAAGCCCTGCAAGTGCTGGCTAATTCAGAGGCGCTTCTTTGTAGATTGCAAAATTAAGCTACAGCGAGGTTAAGTTGTTTCCTGGGGACATGTGCCCATCCTCCAGACCCCTCTGCTCCTGATTCACTAAGTCAGGTTCACCTTATGCAGAGAGAATTCATCTAGATCCTCACAGGTAGATAGATTCTGGGAGCCAAGCACAGAGACGAAACACGACAGGTTGGAGGATCTCTGTCTCTCAGAAGGCACAGATCAGCCCTTCATCTTTCACGGATTTACATATGTCAAGCAGTATCCTGAGAGTGCTGCAAATGGAATTTAAGAATGGAGTATACCTAGGGTTTACTTTTTCCATGCTGGTTTTCCATATCTAAGTTTCCTGTTCTACTGAATAGAAATAAGAATATCTCTGGCATCATGTTTCCAGGGATTATTAGGAATTTCTACCATATCCTTTGAAGTACTTTACATTCTTAATTTGCATAACTTCAAGCCATTGTAATTAAAGTGGCCACTCCCACTACTACAGTTCTTGAATGAGTTACAGGTAATAATAGTAAATAAATTTGCTTTTGAGCAAATGATTGGTGATACTTTTTTTTACTTGAGAATGAAGGAAATCAATCTTTCTTGGTTGGTCCAGAACTTAGAAGGGAGAAATATGCTCCATTAGAATGCATTTTTTAAACATAATAATTATTAGAAAGCAGTGACTGTTTGCTAACTGGGAGTTTTAAATAATTTAGAGAATTTAAATTGTAGATTCATGGTTGCACTTTATGAACCCAGTCTTAACATTACTACTGTATTTGCTAAGCTAAATTCTATGAAAATTCTAATGATTATCTTTTTAAAGATAGTTAACTTGGAATACCACTAAGGTTTAATTGTTAATGCCACAGCGTTGTGTCAGATGTAGGCAATCTATATTAATGATGGCTAGGCGGAAGTGTGTTTGCTATAGTAATAGTATTTTGTTCATGTATCACTGAAAGAATTGGTGAATTTTTATGTTTATGAATTCTCTAGAAATATAACAAAAATATAGTAACTTTATCTGTAGCCTGTGGGGACCAGGATTTGATGATAGTAATCAAAATAATATATTCAGCATGGTTTTAGTTACATTTTTTAGAATCATTCAAAGAACGGAATGGATATTTCTTCCCAGTAATTGGCTAAGGAAAACATTTTGCTAAAACTAGTTCAAATGTACTTATTGGTTTTTTTTCCCTCCAAATTGCCAGTCAGTTAAGTACTTTGAATTAGTGTGGAATTTTATTGAAATAATTTGGGCTAGGGATTTATTCATTTATATAGATGAGCTCTATAAATGATAAATTGACTAATAAAAATTTATTATAACTAGATCATGTGACAATGATTTTCCCCATGTATCTCTAATGAACACAAAAGTGTAGGTGAAATTAAGGTGTGCTTCACAGGAAAAAAAAGCTTTTAATCACATCTTGCAGCCAGGGGGATAGCTCAGTAGAATAAGCACTTGCCTGACAATCTCAAGGCCCTGAGTTCAATCCCCAGTTCTGGAAAAAAAAAAAATCATCACATCTTAATCATTTTATTACTTTAATCTATTAGCATTCAAAATTTTTAATTATGAAAACATTTAAAGTCTATAAACGGTCTTTACTCATATAAAGAAGTGTTTATAGTGTATGTTGACAGCCAGCAATATGACTATGTTACTTAATGGGGTCTGCATTTAAAAAGTCATTTTTTAGCACTGTCCACTTATGGGAATTATTAATCTACCTGAATATTTAACCAAACCCTAGACTATGAGCTTGAATTCGTCTTGAGTGCTTCTGTGTTTCTGCAACGTCTTTGATGGCTTATTCCTGGGGATCTTAGACTAACCTTTCGCTTTTCTCCCAGAGAGGTTCCATGTGTATTTGATGCCGTCCCCTAACTTAGACGTACACGGCGAATGTGCCTTGCAGATTACCTACGAGTACATCTGTCTTTGGGACATCCAGAATCCCAGAGTCAAACTCATCTCTTGGCCGCTGAGCGCTCTGCGGCGGTACGGAAGGGACACCACGTGGTTCACTTTCGAAGCAGGGAGGTGAGTTTTGTGACTTCTAACCATTCTTTTCCTGGATTTTTGTTTGATTTTCCAAGCTCACATTATGGAGATTCACATATGAGATCCAACTTGACGCAGTGTGTAGAGCCGCAACTGTGTACACATGGGTGTTGTCCGGTTCTCATACATTCAGGCCGATTTTTTGTTTGTTTGTTTCTGAAGAGGATTCTAATATTTCACAGTGTGATGGGAATTTTCGTTACACAGTTTGATACCACACCACAGACTGAAATTAAACTGGATACAGACATGCAATACACTGGTTAAGCTCACAGAAGCCACCTTGGTTTTTGGAAGACTTCACATTATTGTGATTCAGTTTATGGTCCTGCACCTGCGCTAGCAGGAGACAGCATAAATCAGAGGGGCCACTGATAGTTTTTAAGTTGTGTTCACTGAGGCCCTGGTCTACTGAATGGGACTATCCCTGGAAGAGCTTAATTCTATTCTTATTGTCACATTGGTGAGCGTTTTTAGGGCTTCCCCAGCAGTCCTTTTAGAGGTTAATATGTGTGTGTGTGTGTGTGTGTGTGTGTGTGTGTGTGTGTGTGGATTTGGGCTCATTTTGAAATACAACAGATAAATTTTGTACATTAGATTTTCAAGTGACTATTTTTAAGAAATAAAAATGCTTCTGCATGTGGCATAAAATTACATCCCAACTGAAAACAATGTATGACCTTAAAACAGTGTTGTAAAAGTTGACTGTTCTCCTTTCAGGAACATGGTATTTAATATAAGGAAAGTAAAAAAAAAAAAAAAAAAAAAATGGAGGTTCCTAGCACCAACTAAGACCCTAACCCATGAGACCAGGTGGCAGTCACCCTCTTTTCAGTTAATTTGTCTACTTTATCTTATGCAAAGCCCCATTATTGAGACTTTACTTTTCAAAGAGATGGTGTACTTGATGTTTTTACAAGGATTCTTGCAAGTTTTAAAAATTCCTCTTTCCCATAAACCTCACTTCTGGTTTATTTTATTTTCAAGAACCTAGAAATAGGTTGGTGACTCTCTCAGACCACAGAGATCATCAAATTAAAAACTAAAATTTTAGGGCTCAGGGTGGAGCTCCGTTGTAGAGTGCTACTTGCCTTGTATGCATGAAGCCTGAGTTCACTCTTCAGCACCATAAAAATATCGATCAACCAGACAAAAAAAAATTAATGTTTACAACAGAGCTCCTCTGTTGTGAAAATTACCTATTTATTGTCTTTAAGATAAAGAGATGTATAAAAAATTAGGAATTTATTTGGTCAGGTAGAGTCCCCCATTTGAATCTCAGAAAATTTTAAGTTTTAATTATCACAAATTAGTTGGGCCAGCCAAATAGCTCAGCTGATTAAAGCACCTGCAAGCAGG